CTGTCGATTGAACATGAGCAGGGCAGCTGTGCCCGCACCAGAGTGTGCCCCTTTGATTTGCTTCTGCTGAAGCACACCACAAAACACATTCTCCATTTGTGTCATGCAGGAAGCAGGGACATCTGGCAAGAGATAGAGACCAGCCTGTAAAGTAAGAGAATGGTGGGCACCAGAGCCCTGAGCAGCAGAGCCCTGAGCAGCAGAGCCCTGAGCAGCAGAGCCCTGAGCCCCAGCTTGGCACAGCCAAGGAAATGAAAGCCAAACCTACATATGTTCTGAATACCTCCCTGCCTGTGTCATCTGGAGCTGCAGTTGGCTGCATGTCCTTCTGGTTGTGGGCAGCCTTGCCATATGGTTTCTGCTGTTCCTTTGAATGTGGCACCTCAATTTTGGAAGTCCATTTTGAACTCATACCGTAAGAGTGTTGTTGGCTTTTTTTAAGGCAGTGGGCAGGTGAGGGGGAGGTACTTGGGTAGGCCTTGGGAAGAATTTACTGGGGTTCTCTGGAAGAGTTCAATGATGGGCTTGGAAAGTTGCTTCGTTCTTTAATTCAGCTCCTGGCCATCATCCAGTATTTGGTATTTTGCTTGCTCTGCCTGGAATAATTTCTCTCGCTCTGGGGCTTGTGTAAAAATGTTTAATTGAGTTCAGAAACTAATGATCAAAAGTGACCATCTGTGACCCCTTAGTAGGCATCTGGATGCACATTTTGCACTTCTGAGGTGTTGAGATAACACAGTGCTGTTGCTGCTGGGACTGGAAGCCGTATCATCAGATATAATAATGCTTTCCAGCTGCACTTGTTGTTTTTTAGTCTTTCCTAAACGAAAATGAGTTTTGCAGGTGGCTAATGCTAGAGGATAATTTGTTTCCGTGCTCGTTTGAAGCCTTGTAGCAAACCCAAAGCTGTGAATAGAAGATGGAAATAAAAGTAGAACGTGATTTCAGAAAAAAACCCCTCCACTTTCTGTGCTGGTGAAGTGACTAAGCCTTGTGGTTGCTGATGCAAACCTTTCATCTGCCCAAGGAAGAGGGTTATTATCTTCAGCTGAAGCCGGTGGGGCATTGAGCAGCACATCCAGGCAGCTATTTGCATGAGAAGTGTGAAGATGAGACTCTGATGTATTTGCAACTTCTGAATTGCCATTATGTTTGTGATTGTGCCTCCTGTTGGGAGAGCCTGGGACACCTTTCCCTTGGCTGAGCTGGAGCCCACGAAGGGAGTTTCACTCTCTGCTCCTCCACGTTATTTCTCCATTCTGAGATAACTTTCCCTCTCCTCTCCAGAGCTAGAATCCGTGAACTGTGGCAAGGGCAGCAAGTCAGAGCCCATCAGCCTTGCCCTGGGGAGGCAGGGCGTGCTGGGAAAGAGGCAGAGGTGCTGGATGGCAGACTCACAGCTGTGTTTGTGGGAAGGGTCCTCTGCAGCTCATCAGCTGCACTGGGCCAGGACATCCCTGGCTTTGCCATGCTGAGACCTCCTGGGATGCTCTCTGGGTAACCCCTTCCCATGCTGTGCTGCTCTGGGCTTGCTCATTAAGAGGTGATGCAAATAATGGTGGTGGGGAAATTCCAGAAATACTCTTTTTTTCCTGCTGGGAAACACTGATTTCCTTAAACAAAGTGTGGGGCTGATCTGGATCGGTGTGGCTGGAGCTTCTGACCTGGGACCTGGAGGTAACGTGGGTACCACCAACCCCTGGGGCTGGCTCTGGGATGTTCAGCTCCAGCCCCCAAACCCTGGGCTGTTGGGCACCCTGCCTGGCATGTCCTGCCTGGCATGTCCTGCCTGGTGCTGCCTGCTCCCTGGGGTGAAGTGTCAAAGGTGGCATCTTCTTTCAAGAAAGGCAGGGAGAGAAGGAAAAAATCTTATCAATGCTCTGAACATTTGAAAAGCAGCAAAAAGTCAGTACAGGGAAACTGATGAAAGCCCATCCAGTGGATAATCTGCAATCAGGGACACGGCAAGGGAAAGATGTGACTTCCCAGGGATCCTCATTAGCTCAGGTGCTCATCAAACTGCAGTTTAGTGCTGGGTGGGGTTCTGGGGGCAGAAATGTCTTTGTGTCTGGAGTACACAGGAGGCAGAGCCATCACTCTGGGCAGCCTCTGCCTCTCACCAGTCCCACAGCAGTAATTACCCTCAGGGCGAGCTCTCTTAATTAAGCCCACTGAGGAGATGCTCTCCCAGCATGGTCACTGCTCTTTAAACTCCCACCTGCACAGGAGGAGTGTCACACCCAGGTCTTTTCCTAATCTTTGAAATAGCTGGATATTAACCAGAAGGAAAACTATTTCCCTGTTGGCAGCATGTTTATCTGGTCAAATTATCACGTTGTGTTTCAAGTGTTGGTGGGCAGTGAGTGAGAAACTGTCCTTTTTGTGGCCAGGGTAATTCATGGCTTGGCTCTGACTTCTTGGAAAGGTTGAAATCTGAGCTCTTGTTTCTGCCTCGTGCTTCTGTTGGAGAAATAGGTCCCAAATGGCAAAGGGAGGATCTCCAAAGTGTGTCTTTGCCTTGGGAAATGACCTCAAAGGGTGCACGTGCCCAGTGAGACTGGGAATGCTGCTCCATGCTACAGCCTCACTGGTGGGAAAACAGCTTGGATTTTCTTGGTTTTTTTCTCATTTGAAAGAAAGACTTTCGTTTTAGAAAGAGTTCAGATAGATGTGGCCTTTACTATGCAGAAAAAACTATATAACACATGATTTCTTCATTTAAACTTGAACATTACGATATTCTGCTTCATTGGGTTATGGCTTCAATAAGCTCTTGAATTAGTCATACTATTAATGTAATTAAAACTGAAAGCTAACTCACAGCCAAGTGTTATTCTGGCTGAAAGATTTTTTTAATTTTTTTTTTCTGAAAATTGGAGAACAACTTGTTGCCATTTTTCTTTTCAGCTTCTTGTGGCATACAGGAATGTTGAATATTTGGCAGCTGAAAAAAAAATTGGTAACTAATTCTCACCTGTTTTCATGCTGAAATTCCTGTGATATTTGACTGCTCCAAAGACATTCCCTGAAGGGCAGCTGTGGGATGAAAGGCTAAGGCTGACAAAGGCACTCGTCAGGAGCTGCCACCTCCCATTTCACAAGGCTTGAAATCCAGATTCTGAATATTTACATAATAAAATGCCACTGGCATAGCCCATGGTGGGGGTGAGTTACTGAGGCAATAACCCACGAGATCAGCCTGTAAATTGTTTTGTAGCTGGTGTTGCACGTGCCCTGCATTGCCTGTTCAGTTGTGCAGCTCCTGCAGTGGGCAAGAAAAGCCCTGGAAGCACAAGTGGGGCTGTGGCTGTGTCAGCAATGTTCCAGAGGCACACTCCTGGGGGATGCAAACATCCTGCCCAAGTACCCAATAATGCCTCCTGACAAATTGTCATCTGAACACTATCATATATTTTTATTAAGTCAGCTTGTGAATTCAGTAATTCCTTTCATTAGGCTTGTTCTTAATGAAAGATGGCTTAAAATTAAAAACAAACTTCTCAGACAAGCTTCCATTCAAGCACAATTGAGTTAAACAGGATGACAAGATGTGAGGAAATAAAAGACCATTTTTGGCAGCAGCAGATCAATTATTACAATGCAAAGCCACGTGGAATACAAGAACAGATTGGTTTTTTCTCAGTAACGTGCCCCAGCTGCAAACCCATAACCACTGCAGTAGGTGTTTATAAACACTGGCTTCTGAAAAATATTACTGAAGCACTTCATGGACAATGCTGATGTAAAAAGGACCCCGTGCACATGCCTGAGAGCAGCAGTTGAGAGAGAGAGCAGCAGCTGAGAGAGCAGCAGCTGAGAGAGCAGCAGTTGAATTCCCAGGGTTGTGCTGGACAGAACTCGGATAAACCACGAGCCGTGCTGGTCAGGCTGTGCCAGGCTGGGAACGCCTGGATGTCCCCTGGGTTTCCTGTGCCTGGGCACTGCTGAGGCTCCGTGCTGGCACTCACACACTGCCCAGGCACTGAGGACTGCCCAGCCCCTGGGCTCAGCTGGCTCTGCTGGGGGGGGTTCTGTGTCTGCATGGTCAGTGGATTTGAGCATGGGAATATCCAGTCAGGGAAAGGGAGCTCGCAGCATCCCCAGGGGATGTTACAGGACTCAGGGAAGCAATGACAGGCTTTGAGAAAGATGATAAATCCCCAAGAGAACGAAGATAAAGCAGTGCCAAAGCTCCCTTGGCAGAGAGATGCACGTGCTGCCCACCCAGCTCGTGCCAGCGTTGGCTGCCACGCCACGTGCCCTGTGCCACAGGGGGACTCCTTTACACAGACAAACACCACTCACCCCAAGGGGGTGTGTCCAGGAATGGGCTTGGACAGCAGCAGACAGGGCAGGTGGCACCTTTCTGGCAGGCAGCATCTCCCAGGGTCCTGATGTTCGGGTTTGCCTTGATTTTGGGATCAAGGCAGGGCTGCAGGAGGATGCTGTCAATGGGTGTGCTACTGAAAATTTCCCTAATCCACTTATGGTGACAGGTTAGACAGAGCAGGGATGAGTTTAGTTAAAGAAATAGCTTTCTAGGACATAAATGGATTGATAAAATACAATTCTATTAAGAGATCATTCCAGTGCTTGAGTGGCACTAATGACTGTGTGGGAATCAGAGGCACAGAGAGATTAGCAGCAATCTTTATTTCCCAAGCAGGTTGTCTGTTGAGATGTTGTTACACAAACTAAATGTTCGTGTGTCAAGAAGTAATTGTGCAGTTTTGTCTGGAGGGAGTCCTGGGCAGGAGCTGCTTTGCAGGGGCAGAATTGGGAGAATTGGTCCATCCAGAAAAGTAAATTTTGCAATTTTTTTTACTGACTAAACTGGTGGCTGGGGAATGCCGAGAGGGTGGGTGAGGTTGCAGGTGGGTATCTGGGTTTAAGCCTGCAGGAATCCTAAATGTCATCCATCACCTGTCCTTTACATTAAAATTCTCTTTCTCTCTCTTTTTTTCCTGCTTCCTTCCCTGCCTTGTTCTCCCCTCTTCCAGCAATGTGGACACCAAGGAGCTGTGTGGTGAGTGTGGCCCTTTTTTAGGGTAAAAGCAGTCCTTGCTGCATGTGGGCTCTGAAGGATGCATGAAACCCAGCACAAAGCTGTGGTCATGGGGGATCTCAGCCCTTCTGCCGCTTTGCCCCTTATTCCACAGGAAAACTGGCAAAACTTTTCTGTATTTTCTTGCAACACAAATGGGGTCAGAGCTGCTCAAAGCACTTGGCTCCCGTTCAGTAACAAGCTGGAGTGTCATTTCTGGAGATGTCCTGGCTCCCAGCTTTGCTCTGGAGCTCAACAAACCCGTGTCCCTCTGCCCCACCGTGTTTCTCCCTGGGCCAACCTCCGTGTTCCCAGCTTGCCTGAGGTGGACACCACTCCTACTGCCCCTCCCACTGCTCACCAAAATGAAAGGCTGAAAAGGAAAATCTCTGATAATGTTTTGTCCCACGCCTTGACCAGCAAGGGAAAATTTCCTGCCAGGATTCCTGGAGGGCTTTGCCTCAATGGGAAGTGACTCCTGCTGCTCACTCAGGTGTATTTTTTCATGGATATTGATATTGAACAATGTTTCCTGCACCCCAGCTTACTGGGGAGAGATGAGGAGACAGAGGTGTGAGGCCTTGCAGAGGGCTTGTGCATCTCTGCTCCTCCTCCTGTGCCAGGATGCAGAAGAACACATGAAGCCACCTCAGCAGGTCTTCACCATTTGCCTTCATGGCTTTGCCACCAGTTAAAGCCTTCAAAGGCAGCTGGGAGTGGGTTGTGCAGCCAGAGGCGGTTGCTGTGTGCCTGTGCACCTGTCCTGATAAGTAAAAAACCTCTCCAGTGGTGGTAGTCTGTGGGTCTGCCTGCAGCAGGACACTGCCCAGGGTTTCTGTCCTCCTGGAGTACTGAACTCCTGCCCACACCTTTCTGAGCAGCCAAGCCTGCAGCAGAAGCAGCAGCATTTCCCCTTTCTGCTGGTTCTCTCTGCTTGTTCTTGCTTTGATATGCAGGAAACAAAGACTCCCATAAAATCCTTTTGGTTTGCTGATGATATGATGGGCTTGCTCCCATCACTCCACTCTTACTGTGTTAGGTCTCCTTGCCAGCTGGACCCAAGAAATCCAAACCCCACAGCTTGTACCATCAGCTTTGCCAGGAAATCCAGGGGTAATAATGGCATTGCTTGCCCCCACACTGCTTTCCCCATCACTCTGATAAAATCACAAATTACACAGCTGTCACCCCCTGTGATCCCACCTTGCTGCCTCTCCCAGGGCTGAAGCTGCTGGGAGAGGATGGAGATAAACCCATCCCCTCCTGTGGAAAGCTGGGGAAAGTCAGAGGAAAGATTGATCAGCACAAGCTCCTGCCTGGATCTCTTATCTGCTGAATTCCTGCCCTTGCCTGCAATTTCTTATTTGCTTGTCCTCTTCTAAGTATTAATTTAAACATAAAATCTCATTTTGGCCAAATGGGAACTGTGGTGTCTCTCTGGAAATGGATTATGTGTTATAAGAGGTTGGGAGCATCTTAAAAGGCATTTCTTGAGCCCTGCAGCTTATGTGATAAATCTGATATGGCTGTTAATCCATATCAGGCAGCATCTTAAAAGTTCTGTTGGTTTTTTTTTCTGCTGATGAATGCAACAATCACCAGCACCTTGATTGACTTAAAGGTGGTTGGGTAGCTCTTCACTGGCAGAGGAGCTCCCAGTCACAGCTAGGAGCTCTTAATAAACCCAGAAAATGTGAGTACAGGTGCCAAATTGTACCCACCACTCTTAGTTCAATCAAAGCACAGACATCCATGCAGAGGTACAAACTGTGCTGGGAACTGAGTGTGCTCCATGAGCCAGGGGATGCCATCAGCCTGTTACAGACTGTCAGGGGGATGGCATCTGGGGAGAGGTCCGTGGGGGCACCTCCCACACCAGTCCTGGGCTGCAGTGATGCTCTTCTTCTGAACACTGACCCCATTGCCTCTGCAGCCATGAGCAAGGACCCTGTAGGACTGGAAGAGCTGATCTCAGGGGTTCACATGAATAAATAAGGCTAAAGCAGCTTTAACTTTGTTAAAGCCAGCGCTGTTCTGCTCCAGGTGCTCCTTGCTCAGGCTCGAGGGCTGTGCTCTGCCCACAACAGCTCATTTCTCCTGAAATGTAAGCCCAGCTTTTTATTTCAGGACTTACAAAAACCTTTGCCTTTCAGATCTGCTCAGGTTTTCTTTCCCAAATCAAGTAAGAACAACACAAACAGACTGCAATGAGAATAAGCCGCTTGGCTTCTGGTGGCACAGCAAACAGCTGCTGTCAGTCATGCTGTGACATTCCGCTTTCTGCCAAAATCCTCTTCCCTTTGGATGTGTTCTCAGACTGTAAATAGCTGTAGGCACTTCTAATTAAGCCAAGAGAACCTAATTAGTGGAATTGTTTCCTGAAGTTTACGTGTTACTGCACTCCACAGAGATGTCACCTCAGCGTGACGCTCCGTGTCCTGGTGCTGAGGAGCAGCGCTGGGGGCGTTTAAGGACCAGCTTTAGCTGCACTCTGTGTCACTCACCCAGGAACAGGGAAATGTGGGGCTGTGCTGCAGACTCCCTGCACACCTTTCTGTCGTGCTCCTTGCTGCTGTTTCCACCCTGAGCAGTGAATCCCAGAGCTCGGGAGCTCTGGCACAGAGCTGTGTTTGTGTGTGATGGAGCCATCATCCCCCACCTGGGACACACCAGTTTTGACTGCATTCTGTGTCAGTGAGCTTGTAGCTCTGTTCCCTTCCTCTGGGGGAATATTTTACTCTCAGGAGATTGTTCAGCCCGTGATTGTTGGCAAATGTGCTGGGACTGTAGGGAAAGGTGTAAGGTCAGTCTCAGCTCGTGTAAACTGGGTTGAACCTGGGAGGTATTTGGGTGCTTTGGGTGGTAAAGAGTGTCAAGGGAGTAGAAAAAGGATTTCTTTTGAGGTCTCTCCCTCCATACCAGCAATAGGAGGGAGGGACACCAGATCCAGTCAAATGCAGAAGTGGGCATGAGTTATTTTCCATGGGAGCTGCTGGGCCTTACACCTCCTTTATGCAGTGGTCCCAAACTTCATGGGAATTGCACCACTTCCCATCCCTGCTGGACAAGCTGTGACTTTGACTCAGTGCATAGAGTATAAAAATGTACCTGAAATAAAAACCATCCTCTCTGGTTTGCCTTACCCCCAATAAACAGACCTTGCTGTCGTGTAGCCTGGAAGGATTACATTTCCTCAGCATGTTCCCATCATGTCCCTCTTGCTTTTCCCAGACTATTTTGCTGACCACATGGGAGACTATGAAGATGTTTTGGCCTCACTGGAGATGCTGAACCTCTCCATCCTGAAGGCAATGGACTACACCAAGCGGGTGAGTGCCCTTCCCTGCTCTCCCGTTCCACAGGCTTGGAGGGAAGGCTGTCCTGTTGTGTTACCAGAGCACATCAATCTGAAGGTCCTCACTCTGTTCAGCACTGCTGCCTCCTCTGCTCTGCAGACAGCATGGCCCAAGGGTCTCCTGGGTGGGAGTGTGAATGCACATTTGTTGGTGTCACTGGGAGGGCTTTTGGAAACTTCAGATTACAGAGCTGCCATTAAATCAGCTTCCATGCTGGAAGGCATCCTGCATTCCACAAATACAGTCACTGTTCAGCTGCTGTGTTGGAAACAAGAGGGCTGTGTGTCTGAGAGACCACAGGGGAATCATGCAAGCACCAAACCAGGACATAATGTCCTGGTTTATATATGCAAAATAGCCCTAAGCTCTTAAAAAATCCACCATGTACCTTAATGACACTGTTACTGATGGACTGACAGAGACAGTGACACTGCTCAAGGAGCATGCTGGTTTATTTCTGAATACCTAGAAAGTCTGAGCTGATGCACCACATGAACAGCCCTGCTGAGAGCTGCACCACTCATCTGTTGTCTTACCATGATGAGAGAAGTGTTTATAGAGCTTTAATTCCTTGGAAATCATTTTCCTGTCCTTCCATACCACTTAGTAATGTGACTGGGCTACGTTGGTGATATTTATTACCTCAGGGTAATCAATCCCTTCTCCCACTTCTACCTTCAACCATATTTGCCTTCAACCATATTCTTTTGTGGGAAAAGTGGTGTCCCTCTTCCCTCATGAGCAGTAATGGGGTACACTGAGGACCAAGGCAAGGAGGGAGGTTTTGCTTTTTCCAAGCAGCCATAAGGACTTCCCAATCCAACTACAACACTCCTGCAAGTAATCCAGATTGAGATCTCCCTTCCATTTATCTATGAAGCTAAAGGAGAAACTCAAAGTACTCCACATTAAAGATGAGGTAATGGTAAGAAGTTTTAGGAGTTAGAATGGGAAACAACAAATTTCTCTCCCATCTTGCTGCCTCGTAAAGAGCCTCATTTTCTTCCATCCTTTTTGATGTTTGTGAGGAGGGCAGAAAGGAAAGTGAAGGCACATATTTAACAAGTTGATGTCTTGCCATAATAAATTAAAGGCAAAAGTCTTTGGCCCATCACTGATCTATCTGAAGTGTTCATGAATTTTTTATCAGCATTATGAAAGGATGAAAAAATTCAGGACAACAGTAATAGTTCATTTTTTCTAATTAAGTTGCTGTGTCTGTTTGTGCCTCATTTATATTCATTATTAGCAAATTTTCTGGCAGTCAGATTTGCCAACTCTGTATTTTAAATAAATATTAATATGCTAATAGAGACTTCAGTCTTTCACCCCACCTTGCTGTTCGTGATGCCTTCCACCATTGCTTTTCCAATGAGAGGTTAACATAAATGACTAATTCTTCCCCATATTTTGCAAGAGGAAGATGCAGAGTAAGACTCCATGACAGAGAGGAGCTGGCAAAGAGGTATTTATTCAACAACACTGCTCCTGCTGTGATTTTGTGAACAAAGTGGTACAAACCTCATCAATGAATTATTCAAACACAGGCAGTTTATTCAGGTAAAGAAGTGAAAAGGAAACCCAACAGAACACAAGCTGTTGTGGGTGGCAGAGAAACTCATCTCCAGTGTTTGAACAGGATACACACCCAGGCAGCATCAAAAGGTTCTCCAAGTGCAAACCATGAGTGCTTTCCCCCCCAGCCTGTGGGGTGTGGGGTGTGTTCCCTTTCCTCCAGGGCTGGGGCCTCACATGCAGGGTGAGGCTTCCCCCCAGGAAGAAGATCCACCCCTGGACTCCAAAAGCTGGTGTCAGCTGCCACTTGCCCAGTGGGTGCCCCCATAGAGGTCTTGCAGAACCATAGATTGGTTCAGAAGGGATCTTAAAGCTCATCTAGTTCCACCCCTCTGCCATGAGCAGGGACACATCCCACTACATCAGTTTGCTGTCTCTACATCTTTTCCTGTGGCCAGATCCTGCAAAGGGCTCGGTGATGATGCTGAGCACTGTGACTTGTGAGCAAACTGCTTTGTCTGTGAGATGGTCCTGATTCTCCATAACAAATACACATTTCATAAGCTGGAGATCACTCCTGATCATTTAGCAGTGTTCCCATCCCCCCCTTTCAAACAATGTATTCAGTGCAGATGGTAAATGAAGCCTAACCTCCTTCTGTGCTGCCTTTCTGACAAGAGGTGCCCGCTGACGAGAGGGCTCTGAGAACCACGGCATTTAATTGCTGTTTATGTTTCTCACCTTAAAAGACAATTGATCATTTCTTGCTCATAAAAAGAGAAAGCAGCAATTATCTGGTGCTGGAGGACCTCATAAAGTATCAGCAGTAATTGGATTGGGTGGTGGAAGGTCTCATCCAGCAAAACAGACTCTGTCAGTGTAATTATTTTCCGATAGTGATGTCCGTGCTGAAATCTCTGCCGGGGATGGTGGGAAATGCAAAGCGGAATTGGAGAGAAAGGAAATGAACTTTGGGGATCTAAAAAAGGCTGACAGCAGGAGATGTTCTTTATAATTCTCTTCTGCTGTTGAATAGTGCTGTTGGCAAATACCAAACCTGACAGGAGTGGGGAGGATGGGATGGTCTGTGTGCCTGGTGACGGTGGGGCTGGGGGAGCAGAGCCACGTTAATTCTGTTCCTCTGCTACAGCCACCACCCCTGCCAGCTCTGAGGGTGCCAGGGGACAGTGCCCAGGGAGCCAGAGGGATGGCATGAGGTGGTGGTTACCACTGAACAGCCCAGGAAATGTGACTTAGCTCACATTTTAAAAAAGAGCTGGGGGTTTTTGAACCTGAGAGGCTCAATCAGCGCTGTTCCTGTCGGGTACAGCTTGGGCTGCCAGCTGCACTGGGACTGCTCCTGCTCCAGCTTCTGCCAATTAAGCATTTCTCAGGACTGACCATGGAAACATCAGCAAGGCTGACCTTTAGTGGTGAGTCAAACTTTTTAAAAGCAAGCTGCAGAGAAGTTCCAACAAAATGCTGAGTGATGAGTGCCCTCAAGGACGAAGCAGCTCAGATTTAAAGTCAAATCATTCCCTCCTGGAGATGTTCCTGTTGGGCACCAGACAGGTCCAAGAAGAACTGGTGACTGACCTTGGTGCATGCCACGTCCCAGATGGAAGGAGAGTGTTTGGAAAGCAAAATTGCCCAAAATTGCAGCTGAAGTTGCAACAGCCCCTCATGCACATGCTGGAATGACATCACTGGCTTCAGGGGAGAGTGGTGGTACTGCAGGAGGGATTTATGGAGGAGGCCTGGGGACCTGAGGGTGGCCCTGGAGCAGCCTCTGCTCGATGTTCAGCATCTGAAAGACAGTGTTTTACTTCTTGCTTGCTTACTGACAGCTCCACTGCAGTGTCTCAGTTATCTCATTAGTGGACCTGGAGCAGGAATAGGACCATGTGGTGACATCACCCACTGAGAACCTTCTCATGTCAGGGCTCCAAACACCACCCGTGTCTTACGGACTGGCACTGTCCCCAAACCAGCTGCAAACACATTTTCCCCTGAGGATCATTGTTTAGATGAGAAATACATAAATCATAAAGGGAAAACTGAGTGTGCTGACCTTCAGTACCAGCTGCTGGTATATACACCAGCAGCACTAGGGAGCTGGGAGGTATCTGCGTGCAGGTGAATAGTTTTGCATATGTTATTTGTGGTTCCAAGTGTTGGTGCAGCAATCCACCCTTCTTGTCTGTCCTTATGAGATGCCATCTCAGTGAAGAGAAGATGTCAGGCCCTGGGGCTCAGTGGGAGCTGCTGCTGCTCCAGCAGACCCTTCTCTCCCTGTTTTCAGCCCTCAGCAGCAAACTGCAAAGCTGTTTGAGCAGCTCAGTCACAGCCCCAGAGCTGCACCATCTGCCACCAGATGGATGCTAAAAATGGTGGATCTTTTATTTTGTAGCACAACCGAGGCCAGCAATATAGAGTGCTCTCACATTCTTACCTGTCAAATTAAGCTTGCCAAATGTGGTATTGCTCTTTTTTCAACGATGACACCTCCAGATAAAATAGTGAGTAGAAATAATCCTCAGAAATAATCTTTTCTTTCCATCCCCCAGCTAATCCTTTATCTCAGCCTTTCATTTTACGTGAGCAGGTTTTCTCCTGCTCTGCTGAACAAAGCTGGCCATCACCCTGTGGTGTCTGAGGCTCCTGGGCAGTGCTGGGTGGGGTGCCTGGCCCGTGGCAGGGTGTAACAACAGCCCAGGGGCAGCAGCCTGGGCTGTGCCAGCTCAAACACAGGGTGTAACAACAGCCCAGGGGCAGCAGCCTGGGCTGTGCCAGCTCAAACAGCGTGAGCTGCTCGTGGCTTCTCAGAGACCTCGTGCTCTGGCCTTGGCTCGTGGTGCTTCATGAACATCAGCTGAAGGTCTGGGCTTGGAGCCCCTGGGGTGCCCCTGCAGTGCAGCACATCTGTTGTTCATGTTCCCTCCTGGCTGAATTCACATCCTGTCCCACACCAGGTGCTCTTTTGGAGAAGCCCTTGTCTCTTGGTACTTTGAACCTGGCTGGGTCCCAGCAGATCCTGCACACCTTGTCATCCTCTTCCCCCTTGGAAGCACTTGGCTCTTCTTCAGGGGTTGTTTGCTCAGATGGCCGGTTTGCCCTTCCTGGAGGGCTCAGAGCATCGTCCACCTCACCTTTGCAGCACAGAGGTCTGTCCTGATGAGGAGGGAGCTGTTATTGGGGTTATCACTGCTTTGTTTTCTCCATTCTTGAATGAGTGATTAAATGATGAAACACCAGCTTTGGAACATTCCTGTGATGCAGTTAAAGATGGAATCATGATGAATGATTGTGGCAGAAAAAAGAAGGGAGTGGTGATGGGTCTGTGAATTGATAAAGGTTGAGTCATCTTTCCATGTATTTTGAACGACATTTCTGAACAATTTCTGTATCAGCCTCTACAGCAAAAACACAGATATGGATTTCTGGAAAAGTTCTGCAACTCTACAGTTCAAGAATAACCTGAAAGGAGATGAGATGTGTTTGTTTAGCTTCTCACAATGTATTTCTGCAACTTCTCTCTGATATTGATTTAAGAAAATATTGCCCTGCAAATTAGAGCAAAATGTGCTGCTTCAGTTCTGCAAGAACTGAATTTCCCCCAACTTTTCTGTTCAGACTCCAGACCAGAAAGCTGCTTTTCCATGCCATTTTCCTGCCAGCCTGTAGGGCTGTGCATGAGATCCAGCTGGGCTGCCAGACTGTTGGGGAGCACAGCAGGACTGGCAGGGAAAGGAACCTTAAGAAAGTCTCTCTTGGAACTTATTTTTAGATGAAGATGCTTTATTCACTGCTCTTCTGCTTTTCTGTAGCTGCAAAATCCATCTCTCTCCTCTCTCTCCCTGAAAAGGCAGAGCATCTTCTCTGGGGGTCCCACTTGTTCTTTGCCTGCTGGGTGAGTGGAAGGGAGCAAAGGTGCCATTTGTCTCTTGGTCCGTGGGTGACCTCAGGGATCTGCACTGCCCACAGGTCCCTGCCCTTCCCACCCGTGGGGCTGCAGTGGGACACGAGGGCATTCCAGAGCAGCAGGGAGATCCTCTAACCAGGAGAACAAAGGCCTGGGATAAACTGCTTGGGAAGGGTCCATGGCAGGAGACCTTTAGGATCAAACCAGGTAAACGTGAGCTGAGAAAGGTCCAACACTGAGATTTGCAAAAGGAGGATTTTATAGTAAAATGCTTTTAAAATCCTTATGATCCATTGTAGTTTTTTAAATCTGAACAGGTGTCTTATTTGGCTTTTTAGAGCTGTTTCAGGAAGGCTGAACATCTTTCATATGGTAATGCTTTCATTTATCAACTATTTAAGTCTCTGTTCTCTTCATGTTTCTTCTACTGATTATGTGCCAGGCAATCAGGTTTGGGTCTCTGCTTTGGAAGGGATTTGAGAGTCAGGGGGAGGGAAAGGAGGGAGAGGCAGGTCTGAGTGTTATTCTAATTAAAAGAAAATATCTTTTGGAAGAAAACAGGCAATTATGAGCAACGAATTCAAATCAGCCAGTCAGAGGTTAGAGCACAACACATGCCTGGTTTTTAAAGGGCTGAGTGGGTGGAAGATAACCTCTCCATCACCCCAGGCTGAGGCTTGACAGGGGTGTTTGATGGCATTGCAATAGATGTGGTGTTGGGTTTGGGGTTTTTTAACTGGAGGAAAAGTGTGGGTGAAGCAGAATTTGCTTTGGATTCCATCTGAAAAGCCTCCTCGGTTCAGTGCCATCCCTCTGTGGGTGTGCTTCTCTTGTGATTATTAACAATTGGAGAAGCCATCAGTGTCCCCAGGCTTGGAAACTGCCAGCCAGTTTGGCCAATCCCACTGCAGACCAGCACTGGGAGGACTTGCTGGGGAAGGGAAGGTGTGGGGTGGTCACAGGGGTTCTCTGAGTTATTGGCTGGCACAGAATAATTTATGTTTTACACCTTGTAGCCTTAATGAGCTGAATAGTGACCTTTCAAATGCCAGCAAAGAAGCTTCAGGATGCTCAGCAGCATCAAAAGTCTCCTTTTCCAGTCATTTGATACCCACATTTGATACTGCTGTTTGCTGCTGCTGTGTGTGCAGGGTGCCTTACAGACATGTACAAAGCTTGTGAGGTGAAGAGAGGGGAGAGATTTGGGGCTTGGACCTCATCTGACTGACCTGGCACTGTGCAATATTTCCCAGTAAAGCCAGCTTTCCTTATCCCCCTTTTCTCTCATTTTTCAATGTCTCTGGCTCGTGCCCTGCTTTCTCAAGTGGTGATGCTTCCTGAGGCTCTCCTGAGAGTCTCAACACAGAATTCTCAAGGCCATTATTTCAAGGGGGCTTTCACATTTGCTGCTCACTGCAAATGGGCACAGCCACCTGTTTGCAGCAGCAGAACCCGGGCCAGGCAGTCAGAAAAAATCTTTCTAGCCTGGAACTGGGGGATGGAAAAGAGCAGGCTTGGAGATGTCCAAGAGCTTCTGGCACAAAGCAGCTTCACTGAGCAGCAATTATTATATTATCTCCATAAATATTTTAACTTCTCAGGCAAAGCAAGGAGGAAATAACTCTTCAAGGTGAGATTAATAAGAATAAGCCTCATTAAATCTCACTAGGGCAGTCTGACAAATGTTTTAATAAGACAATGGGAAGGATTCCTTTGGAGTTGGTCTTCTTAATGACTTGTTTTTGCAATCCCAAAGAAGATGTGTTAGAGGAGAGCCCAGGGGATTGTACAGCCCAGTGAACAGTGCAAGGAGTGCACACAGCTCTGTGCTGTGCTGGCAGCTCCTGAAGGCCAGCAGGTCTGCATCAAATGCAGGAGGAGAGACAAAGCCCCAGCCTGTGGGAGCAGCTGCCTCCACCACTGCAGCCAGAGCTGGGCTGGGTGGGAGAGCTCATCTGCAGTTCCAGCAGGGCCCAGTGCCTGGTCAATGCCTGCTCAGTGCCTGCTCAGAGCCTGGTCAATGCTGCTCAGTGCCTGGTCAGTGCCTGCTCAGTGCCTGCTCAATGCTGGTCAGTGCCTGCTCAGTGCTGGTCAGTGCTGGTCAGTGCTGGTCAGTGCATCCACGCCCCCAGCACGGGCAGTGCTGGCTGCAGGCAGGGCTGGCTGAGGGGGGAGCAGCCAAGGAGGGGGCAACTGCAAAAGGAATTGGGTTTGATCCCAAATGCAGTGATGTGTTTGCCAAGGAAGCGTTTCCATTTCATACACCCACCTGTGTGTGTGTGGCCAGTGGAAGATGCTTTAGAGGATGAAACAATTGCCTGGGTGAAGGGGCAGATTTGGCCCCGTGTGGGGCTCTTTCCAAAGCGTGAGGGCAGAGGAGGGGGAAGGGTGAGGTGCCCTAACAATGAATTCAATGCACTGTAAGTCTGGACAGACTTGTTCAGGTGTGACATGTCTGTCTGTGTGCACAGGTGTGATGTGATGGCTGGAGAGGACACCCATACACATACAGTGCATAATGCATGTTCTGAGTTGGGAGTGTTTCACCAGGGAGAACAGAGATTGTCCAGCTATCCAGGAATATTTGTGACTGCATTCAGGGTTTTTTCCCATTCCAAATGCTCAGCAACTGTTTTCTCATCTCTCCCTTGGCTCTGTTGCTGTTTATTTGTCTGGTGGTGGTGCCTGTGCCTGCAGGGAGCCCAGTGTGGTGCTCCCCCAGCTGCCTGTGGTCCCAGGTGCCATCACCCTCCCTGCCTGCATGGGGCAGGAGGATTCAGCATCACCATCCACCAGCGATCACCACGTCATGCATGTCCCCCAGAAACACTGTGGCTGTGACAGGGAGGGGAGCAAGGTTTTTTGTGTCAGACAGATGTCATTAACCTCTGTTAATTGGATGCTCAGGAAGCTGTCAAGAATCTCGTGCTTCCCTACGAATTCAGGGGTGAGAAATCAGTTCTGTGATCAGAACCCCAAGGGTTTTTCCTTCAGCTCGTTCTTCTTTTATGATTTAATATAAAAGATAAAAGCCCTCTGGGTTCTTGCAGAGCTGCTCCAGTTGCCATGGAAATAAACCTCACTAATCGCTTCTCCATAAAACAGGAATAATCTGCTGTGCCAGTGTCCATCTGGGTGTGCTGGTGCCATTCCAGTTGTGCCACTGTGCCACCTCTGCTGCTGGCTGGCAGGAGGTGGAGGAGCAGACCATGCCATCAGCAGGGTTCAGCAAAGCTGTTTGGGGAAAGGGGTCCTGGGTGCTTCAGGCAGATCAATTGTGCTATTAAAATATTTTAGAATGGCACAGAAGGGTTTGGATTACCCTGGGAGTTTCTGTTGCTCTAAGAGTACACCCAGCCCTGTTCATCATCCCAGACTCCCTTTTCTTTAGTGCTGGTTGGCCATGCTGTTGTGGATTAGAGCACTGTGAAACACCAAAGTTCTCAGAGTAGGGATCTCCAAAGCACAAGAGGGGCCACTTTTCCCACCTCCTCCAAGAGGCTTGCAAGAAAATAAGTACAGCAATTTAAAGTCATGGTAAAGAGAGCAGCTACAGGCTTTGGGTAATCACCTTTCCATTGCTTTATTCACCTTTCCATTGCTTTATTCATAGATTTATCTATGAACAAAGCAATGCTGATGTGCTCGCTGCCCACACTCCCTCCCATCACAGCCTCTGCCAGTCTGTCCCCGAGGGTGCTGGAGGTCCCTGTGCTGGGTGACCCATGGGTGCCAGTGGGGTTTATGCTTCCTGTGGGGTGGGACAGCACTTGCTCACTCCTCCTGTGGCCCCTACAGTCAGGGGTACTGAGGGGACCAGCGTGAGCGTGGGACGATGGGTGATGCTGGGCTGGACGGGGCCTGCGGTGCTGGGTGGGGGTGCTGGGTGAGGGTGCTGGGTGGGGGTGCTGGGTGAGGGTGCTGGGTGGGGGTGCTGGGTGGGGGTGCTGGATGGTGGAGCTGGATGGTGGAGCTGGATGGTGGTGCTGGGTATCGATGCTGAGAGCCAGTGCTGGGTGCTGGGTGCCGGTGCTGGGTGCTGGGTGCTGGGTGCCGGTGCTGGGTGCCAGTGCTGGGTGGCACTGTGGGGCTCAGCACCGTCCCTGTGTGCCCTGCAGGTGTACGAGAGCGGCAGCAACGTGGAGCAGTTCGTGACCCGCTTCCTGCTGAAGGAGACGGCGAACCAGACCCAGTCCCTGCTGAGCTCTGTGGAGAGCGCCGTGGATGCCATCGACGAGCAGACCAACCCCAGCAGGTCTGCAGCGCTGCTGCCCTCCTCTCTGGTGGGGGAGGGTGAAGGGGAAAAAAAGCAGGAGCTCCTGGGAATCTGTGAGGAGGAAACAAACCCAACATCAGGCAGAGCAATTAGAGACCCTGAAAGACTTTGCTGGCTTTTATTTCTGATGTGTGGGCCTGGTTCATAATGGGGAGTATTGTAGTTGTTTTCTCACTAAGATAATAGCCAAAAAAAAAAAAAAAAAGTCCCCTAAATATCTATCTTCTGCATCCACACGAAGACAAAGAGGTGGCCTAAAAACCACCAAAATAAAGGGCTGTACACCAAAGTGCAAAGGCAGAGGTCCAAGCTTGAGACACCTCATTAAATTGTGATTAAAATAAATCTCCTGTCTGTTTTCACCTAATTTCCTGCCTATTGACAGGGGATTATGCAGCACCAGCAGTGGGATTATTGCACAGCAAAGGGATGTTCCTGCCACCTTTACTGTTCTTTGTTTCCTTATCTTGGGGACGTTCCTTGGGACCAGATCCTCACATCCTGTTCCTGTGTGTGCAGTTGAGTCCACACTGGCTGATTTTTGGGGCCAACAGCAGGCTGGGCATTGCAGCACCAAGGGAGCCTGTGCCAATTGCCTGGGGTGGCTGGGAAAGGGCACCTGGCAGCTGTGTTTTGGAGGAGCTGTGTGCCAGGGGAGGGGCAGGAGGGCAGGAAGATGCTGGCTGGTGTGATGCCCATCAGCTCCCTGGCACTCCCCCGGTCTCCAGCTGGGAGCTGTCTGACCTGCAAAAGATGCCAAGAGGGGCTGGGGCTCCTGGGCACCTCCATCAACCAGCGCAGCACGGAGCTGCTCCTGCTGCAAGGAGCTCTGGAAAGCCTTTGAGCTGCTCAGCTCTCCCTCTGTGGTTACAGGAGGGAAGCCTGCGCTGCCTGGGCACGGTGTGGGCACTGCTGCCCTGCAAAGGCTCTGGTGTCACTGGCAGAGCTGCCAGCAGCGTTGGCTCCCAGGGGCTGGCTCACAGCGTGCCCAGCTCTGCCATCCTGACGGCTCCTGTGCTCTCTGCTTGCAGGCACTGCCCCAGCAAGGCTGGCCACGGCGTGAGTGACACCTGGTACGACAGCCCCGTCCCCAGCTACTCTCCCACCACCTGGGTGGTGCCCAGGGAGCACGGCAAGAACTTCCAGGCTGGTGAGTGATGGCTGGGAGCGCTCAGGGACGGGAGCTGCGGTGCCAGCACGGGGCTCACAGGCAGTGCCCACGCGTGCCCCTCGCTCCATCCCTGCCTCCTGCTCCCTGCAGGTTCCCCCGACACCAAGGCAGAGGGGCTGGAAGGGCAGATCAGCAGGCTGGCCAAGCTGATTGGCAAGCTGGAGGACAAGGTAAGGGCCAGCGTTTCCTGTGTGGGACTGTCCCCGGGGTGTCCCCACAGCCCCACCCCCTCCCTGCCACGCTGGGCCAGAGGTGACCAAGAGGTGGCCGTGCCCATCCCAGTGCTGTGGTGTGCATGGACCATGCAGCTGGGTTGCTGGTGGTGCTGGAGGACATTCTTTCTGATGAGTTGACAGCAGCTATGGAATGTGGAGCAATTAACTGTGAGTGTGGTTGGCAGAGGAGCCAAGGCTGTGCCAGGGCTAGGAAGGGCTCAGAGGGCAGTGAGGAGGAGTGGGTACCGCTGGTTCTGCCATCCTAGGGACAATTCAGGGACTGTGAATAAGTGACAGCTGTTCTGGGGCAGGGGCAAGGACAGGGTGTTGGAGATGTTGGCTGTGCTGGGAGCACAGGGAGCTTTTGCAGAGGGCCTGGAGTGGAGGGCACGAAGGTGCAAACGGCTCTTGGAGCTGTCCCCTGCAGACAAGGGGGCACAGCCAGTCATGCCAGGTGCTGGGGACAGAAACCCCCAGGCAGCCTCAGCCCATCCACCACCCCCTCCACTGCTCGCTCCCGTTCCCAGACGCTGTGGTTCGACCTGCAGCAGCGGCTGTCGGACAGCGAGGGCACGGCCTGCACGGTGAGTGTGCCCGACCCCACCCCTGGGGGCTGGGAGCCCCTGGGTGCCCCTGCAGCCCCCAGCCTGGGTGCTGCGCTCTCTGGGTCTCACTGGCTGTGTCTCGGGCCGGCAGTACCTGCTGCTGGTGCGGAGTGAGATGACGGTGTGGCACAAGCACCTGAGCGAGTTCTGCAGCTCCCTGAAGCAGTACCTGAAGAGCGTGGCCGGGCAGCGGGACTGCTTCCAGTGGGTACCACCGGCACAGGGGGTGCTGGGGAGCTGGGAGGGCTTGGGGGGTGGGGGGGGGACAGAGGATGTTCAGCTGCCCTTGCAGCAAAGGGCACCCCACCAAGTGTCGACACCTGGGCTGTCGGGGCTGGGTCACCCCTCGCTAGCCCAGCCTACAGCACCTCTGTGGCTGCAGAGGCCGAGGGGGCAGGGATGCCCCGTGCTGGGGGCTCACCCCCTCTCCCTGCTTGTGCCAGTGTCACAGCAGTGAAGCTGCCAGACGGGGTCACCTTCATCGTCTATGAGTTCTGGGAGACTGAGGAGGACTGGAAGAGGTAGGAGAGGAGGTGCAAAAAGCCCATTTTTTTGCTGGGGTGCTCGGGTGTGAGGGGTTGTTGGAGCTGCTGAGCCCCAGGCTCTGTGCCCTGTCCGATGGTAGGACCAAAGAGCTGTCTGTCCATCCTGGGACTGTCCCTGTAAATGGGACATGGGTTTGGGGTGGGTTTCTCTGCACCTCCCACCTGGGGATGCCTTTTCATGTGGGGCCATCACTGTCCTGAAGTGAGGCAGGGTGCTCTGCCCAAGGGGAGGTGAGTGGGATTGCTGGCACCCAGCCCCTACCAGAGCCCCTGGAGCTGGGGGGGCTGGGATGGTGTTCCTGGGGTGGGGTGTCACCCACTCTCCCACCTGGACGCAGGCACCTGCAGAGTGCCACCTGCAAGGGCTTCCAGCACGTCAAGGTGGACACGCTGAGCCAGCCCGAGGCCATCTCCAGCGTGGCCGTGCCAGGTAGGAGGGCGGCTGCCCTGCAGGGACAGGGACCCACGGCAGCCAGCCCCGCTGCAGCTGCTGGGGGAGGGCAGGGAGCGTGGGGTGGAGGACGGTGTGGGCTGGGCTGGCTGGGGGGTTGGGGTGGGCTGGGCAGGGGTGACCCCCGTGCTGTTCCCCTGCAGCTGCCTGGTGCACCCTGAGCCGGGACTGACCGCTGGAGCCGGGGGGCCCCGCAGCACCTGCCCCTCTGCAGGGTGGCCGTGACCCCCTGCACGGCTGGGGAGGGGGAGGTGCCGCTCTGACCTGGCTGGAGTGAAGGAAACCCCCATGTGTGTCCCCACCACCCCATAGAGTCCTTCCCCAGCTACCCCAGCACCTGGGTCGTCTCTCCCTGGCATGAGGTGGTCCCTGGGAAGGGAAGGGCTGCCAGGGAGGGGCTGGCAGGCTTTGGGGAGGGGGACATCCCCCAGACATAGGCAGGCAGGGATGGGCAGGGTGCAGGCAGCCAGGCATTGGGAAGTAGAGGTGGGAGTGGGAGGCTGGAGCCCCCCCTGAAAGCAGGCAGTAGGTTGGGGGTCCGTGCCAGTCCCCAGGGCCACCCAGGGAAGGGGCTGGGGGAGCTGAGGCTGTGCCTGGCACAGTGTGTGTGTGCCTGCAGGGAGGGGCACCTGTGTGCCTGGGGAGTCAAGGTGCTGGCAAAGGGGGGGATATCCCTGCTCCCAAGGCAACCCTGAGTCTTTTCTGGGTGTGGAGGATCCCAAGGGGTTTCCCTGTGCAGTTGAAGCGAGTGAGGGTGGCTGCCCCCCCTTCCCCCTTCCTGGGGTCTGTACTTCTGTCTGTGTGTCTGTCTGTCTGTGCCCATCCTGCCCCCAGCCCCCTGTGCACGGGGGTCCCTCAGGGTGTGGCACAGGACCCTCGCTGATACCCTGTCCTGTCTTTATTAGCCCCTGTACAACGGGGACGTGCTGCCAAATAAACCACGATGGGCTCCAGTGCTGGGCTGTGTCCAGGGCTGTGTCCGGGGCTGTGTCTGAGCTGTGTCCAGGGCTGTGTCCGGGGCTGTGTCTGAGCTGTGTCCGGGGCTGTGTCTGAGCTGTGTCCAGGGCTGTGTCCGGGGCTGTATCCGGGGCTGTATCCGGGGCCGTGTCTGGGCTCTGTCCGGGGCTGTGTCCGGGGCTCTGTCCGGGGCTCTGTCCGGGCCGTGGGCTGGGCAGGGTGGGCAGGGGCCGTGGAGGAGGGGTCCTGGTGGGACTCTGGCCGGGGGCTGAGCCCTCAGCGCAGCAGCCCCAGCACGGCCAGGGCAGCGCTCTGCCCGCAGACGAAGGCACCGCCGAGCACGGAGAGGACACCCCAGGTGATGAGAGCAGCCCTGCAGTGACACAAGCACAGGGCCCCTGGGACAGAGCTGACCCCAGCAATGGGCCACTCCCTGTGCCCCAGTCCCCTGGGCACGGGGCTCTCTGCAGGGTCTCAGCCTCCTCTGCCAGGCTGCTCTGCATCGTTCCCAGGGGATGCTGAGGAGCTCAGCAGCCCCTCTGGCTCAACCCCAGCGTCCACTGCAACGACACACAAACCTCAGTCAAAAGCCTTGCAGATGCCACCACGAGGTCATCCCCAGTTCTGCCTGTGCCCAGCGGCCCCACTGAAGGAGGACAGACCCGCATCCACCCACCCTGTGCTCGGCACAGCCACGCCCCCAGCCCCATCCCATTGCCACATGCTTCTACCCTTCCCCATCTCCATCCCCAGTTCTGCCACCCATCAGTCTGCACCTCCTTGTTTCCCTCTCCCTGGACACACAGCCCCCAGCTCCAATGGATCCCCTGGGATGCAGCACTCACCCCCAACCCTGCTGCTGCTCTGTGGGGTCATCAGCGCCGTGTTCCTTCCCAAACTGCCCCAGGCCAGCTGGGACAGTCCCCTCGCAGTCTTCATCACCCCAGCTTCTGTTGTCCCCTCTCCTTGTGACAGGCTGGTGCTGTGGCAGGTGTCCCCAGGGGACTTCTCCAAGCCCTTGTCACCTACCTGGGTGCCCCTGTTCACCTCCTGACTCAGCCCCTCCAGCACTTTGGCAGCTTTGGGGGCACCCTTGGTGGCACCCTCACTCCTGCCCAGACAGCCATGGAGCCCCAGGACACCCTCCTGACCAAGACTCCAAGGTCCTCGGGTGCTCCCTCCACTCACCGTGGGGGACAGGGCCCCTCCACACTCATGACCTTCATCCTCACTCAGACTCTGCTGCTCTCCCGGGGGCACTGCAGACACACTTAAGCACACACTCCAAAACTTGCCAGCACCATGTCCAGTCCCCCTGACGTGGGCTCCTGCTGTGCCCCAGCCTCTCAGGACAAGAGTGGTGATGGGGACACTGCCCTGGCACAACAGACACTGAACACCCCACAGCTGCCTGCCTTGGGGCACCGTGCCCCTCTGACCCCCAGCCTGACCCCCTCACCGGTGTCCCAGTGCCACCAACCCCACAGCTCTTTTGCCCCTACAGTTACTCTGGTACCGGGACATCTCCCTGGTGCCTGGGCACAGCCCTGGTACTCAGGTACATCCCAGATACCTGGACACAACCCCGACAGCTGGGTACAACCCCCTTGCCTGGGCACATCCCTGATACCCTGGCACAGCCCCAGTAGAGCACTTCCCTCCACACCCAAATCCCCTCTTGCAGGGTTCCACCTCGGCCGGGGTGACCGCCAGGGATCTGCCTGGGCCCTGGTTCCTGGCCTGCCACGCCCTGCCCCTGCCCTGCCCCTGCCCTGCCCTGCCCCTGCCACGCCCTGCCCCTGCCCCTTCGCTCGCCCCGTGCCGCTGCAAGCACAGACAACTCACTTTTTGCGAGGGCCGAGGCTGCAGGTCCCAGTCATGCACACCAGGCACAGCCCTGCTGTCAGTGCAGGAGCTCAGCCCCTCTGCCACAGTACCCCCAACCCAGCCCCACCGGGCATTCCCAGCCCTGCACCCCCAAACGGGGCCGGGATGGGCCACCCACCACCCCAGCGACGCTCCCGGCACCGGCAGAGCCCCCTCCTACTGCCTTCTTGCCTGGGAAGATGAAGATGAAGAAGGCGCTGATGCCCCCGATGAGTTCGATGACCTTTCCGATGTCAGGGACGGCCAGGGCGATGGTGAGGGTGGCGCCCATCCAGGTGACAGTCAGTGCCACCCGGCCCCGCCGCTCCTGCGCCTCGGACACCGCGGCCCCGCGCTTGGGGGGTGCCCACAGGTCCCTCACCACCGACCTGCAAGAGAGGATCAGGGGCTCGTGGCACCCAGAGGAGCTGGGGGGGCACCTGGCCCGTCCCCGCCCCCTCACCTGCCCAGCAGCACCACGATGGGGTAAATGGTGACGATGGAGACGCCGAAGAGCAGGCGGGCGACGATGACGAGCGGGTCGTTCCCCGGGTAGGACATGAGCACGTCGGACGCCACGGCCTCGCCGAAGGTCAGGTAGCCATAGAGCCCTGCTGACAGGGAGGGGGGGCCCTGTGGTGAGCAGGCAGGGGAGCCCCGAGGAGGATGGGGAGCCACGGGGAGAGGGGACCCCCGGGGCAAGGAGGGGGTGAGGGGTTTGGTGCTGGGTTACCAGTGAGGGAGTAGATGAGCAGGCAGATGAGCATGGAGAGCACAGACACGGTGACCCAGTGGGAGAAGCTCTGGTTGCTCATGCTGCTGTAGATGGCCACACATGCCTCGTGGCACTGCAAGGCAAGGGGGAATGGTGCTGGGGCCCCATGCAGGGACAATCCCCCCTCCCAGCATCCTCCCCGTCACCTATGGGTGCCCTGCCCTGCTCTGCCCCATCCCCAGGGACTTGCATCCTGCCCTGCAGCCACCTCTGTGACAGCCACAGGACCCCTTCCCTGCAACCTCCCCTTGAAGGGATGGCAGCCCCATGGTCTGGGATGCTGTGGGAGGCTGCTCTGCCCTGGCAGCTGAGACTGGGGGGGCCTGGGTGACCTACCTGGAAACCAAAGCAGATGGTGGGAATGACACTGAAGATGGAGGCCCAGGAGGAGGACCTGTGGCATGTGGGGAGGAAGCAGACAGTGGAGGGTGTGAGGCTCACAAAAGCAGAGGGAACCTTGGTGACATAAATTGTGCAGCCTGGATGCCACCAAGGGAGCCTCCTGCACGGTGATTTTGGGAGAAAGGGGAATTGCTGGAGTAAAAAATGGGGCTGGGAGCTGCCATTCACCTACCACTACTGTGTGCTGTCCCCAGCTCCCCCCCTGCCCCATACACATGGGGCCCAGGACCACCCCTGCCCTACCTGCAGCCCTGCCCCATGTCACTGCTGATGTCATGGAGGTCAGGGCAGGAGAGACACGGGGCTGATCCCCTTACCTGGAGCGCTGGGGAGGGTTGGTCAAGCTCAGGCTCTCTGTCTCCAGGTAGTATTTCAGGATGATGACCAGAGTGAGGTAGCAGGCGGCCAGTGTGCCCAGGATGCTGCCAGGACATGGGAGAGTGTCAGCACACAGCGGGGACAAAGGGAGAGGGGGTCCCATGGCCCCACAGGTTCCCAGGAGCAAACCTGGCGTACAGGGTACCCAGGGGTGAGCAACCCCAGGGACAGCCCAGGTGGTACCTGGAGTACTTCTGGAAGCCGATCTCCCTGGGCACAGAGAGCGGGAAGATGACGAGGGCACAGAGAGCAGAGAGGGTGAAGCGCTGGTCCACGTACCAGGGGGGCAGCTGGGGGGCCCCGCTCAGGGTCACGTTGGGGTACAGGGAGTCGCACACTGTGGGGGCAGGGGGGGTTCAGCTGCACCCTGAAAGGTGGCCCAGGGGGGTCGGGAGCATCACACTATGGCAGGAGCCCCAGGACCAGGGAGTGCCAGGTCCTCAGAGTTTGCAGGAAAACCCTGGGCTGGGCCCAGCCCACCCCGGGACCAGCTCCCCTCACTGCCGAGAGCTGCCGGCCCCGAGCAAGCCCCAAACGCGGTGGGCGAAAACAACTCACGTTTCTCCAGCTGGTCCCCCACCACTCTCAGAAGGGCCACGGAGATCATGAAGAGGTTGAGGAGGAAGCAAATCTCGCAGAGCTTCCCCACCGCCGCCCCGCACACCGCCCGCACCACCCCCTGGTAGGTGGGCTGGGCGCTGAGAGCCGCCGCATAGCCCAGCACCGCCAGCCCGCTCACCAGGAACACCAGCGAGCCCTGCGGGGACACGACCCGGCAAGGAGCACCACACAGAGCCTCTGACACCCCGGGCCCAGCGGGAACACAGCAGGGCTACGAGCAGGGACCGGGTCACCCGCTAGGTTGCCTTGTGGCCCCAGGTAACACAGGTCAGCAAACGGATGGAGACACAGCCCTGTGGGACACTTCGGGTTTAGATTTGGATTTTGGGGACATGTAGGGGAGCAGATACCAATTTTATCTTAGGTTGAGCCACAAGCCAGCTACAAGTGTGGCTTCAGCTGCAAAGGGCATCCCCTAAGGCTGCTGCCCCCCTGCTCCAGGCGGGGTCGGGACGGGGGTGCTGTGCGAAGAGGGGCCCCGCCAGCTCCCAAATACCAGAGCAGGTGAACCCCCCTCTCCAGCCCATCCCCAGAGCGGCGCCGCTCGGCTCCCTGCGTCCCTTCGCCCCCGGGTGCCCCCCGAGTGCCCCCTTACCAGCTCCACCAGGAGGGCGGGCACGGCCCCGCCGGCCCTGCCGAAGGCCCAGGGGAAGCTCAGCAGCCCCGCGCCCAGCGCAGACTTGAGCAGGATGAAGACGGCGCCGGCGGAGGAGAGCCCGGGGGCGCGGGGCGCGGCCGAGCCCCCCGCCCGCAGCAGGGGCCGCGCCTCGCCCGCCGCCCGCTCCATCCCGCACGCTGTGCCGGCCCCTCCGCACGGCCCCGCGGGGGCGGGCAAGGGGAGCGCGGGGGCTGCGCGGACCCCCCGCCCCCGGGCCGGTGGGGAGGGGGCGCCGGGGGACGGGCAGGAGCCGGCCGTGGGAACCCCCTCCCGGGAGCTCACCCACGGAAAGCCCCGTCCCGCTCCCACCCGGTGCGGGGAGCGGGCATCGCCCCAGGGTTCACGCACCGCCCCGGCTCGAAACCCGCGTCCCGCTGTCCCCGGACAGCCCCAGCCCTCCAACAGCTCGTACGGACCGCGGCAGCCCCAGCAGCAACCAGAGCAGGGCTGGGGCACGCAGGCTGGGGGCTCCCCACTCCAACTGCGTTCTCCCCATCCACGAAATTCCCACCACAGGGCTGGGGCCTCCCTCTTCCTGCTGTGTTCACCCCATCCATAAAATTCCCACCACGGGGCATTTTGGAGAATCCTGGGAACGGTGAGGGAAGGCAGCTGCATTAAGTGCCCTTCAGACTATTTGGCTGGCGGGTGCTTCATCACTTGTTGGATGCAGGATGAGCCCAGCACCCCTCCATGTCCCCACAGCACCTAAAAGCCCAGTGGCACTTTCCTGCACTGAGAGACCTTGGAGAGGAGCCATCCCACCCCATCCCACCGCTTGCTCCGCACAGGGGAAGGGGGTGCTGGGATACCAGGATGGAGAGGCTGATGCTGCCGGGAGCTGCACAGAGGAGGCTGCACCCCACAGGGGAGAGGGGCCCATCCCGACCTGGGGCACAGGCAGCAGCTCTGTGCCCCTCCCAGCACCTGCCACTGCCCTGGGCTCAGCACACAGACCCTGGCTGACAGCCTCTAATACATTTTTGATTTCCCAAATATGTGCCCTTCTGATCTCGGTAAGACGGATAAAGAGACTTTAATCAGCTGCTAGGTGGAATTATGGATGGCTAATTGTGCCTGCCACCTCCATTACATCTCTGCCGCCTACAGGGCTTATAACCACTTAGAAGGGCCCTTCCAGGCCTTCATTAGCTGCACACCAAAGGCTTCGGAAATAATTGGCCTTTACGACTTAGAAATTGGCCACTGGGCTGTAAAATACCAGCCACTGAGAAAGGCTCTTAATTCGGACTGGGCTTTGATTTCACTCTGGTTTCACGGTTGCAGTGGGGCTGTAATCTCTCATTAGTGCTGCAATGAGAGAGCAAGGCTCCTCATTAGCACTGACCTGAGCAGTGAGAGCTTTCCAGTCTCCCTCTGATGGATCAGAGCACCTCAGACCAAAGGGATGCAGCTCCTCTCCCCTGATGGCACAGCAGCCCCAGGCGCTTCCTCTGCTCAGTGGCTCTGGGCTCCCTCGCTTCATTTTCCCCTCTTTCTCCCATTTCTCTGGGTGCTCCAGTCCCTGAGCTGCAACCTGTAACCTGAGGGTGCCTGTGGGTTGGCAGCTTTACCTGCTGCTGTGTCCCCTTGGCAGGTGGAAAAGGGGCTGTTGACATGTTTTCATTATTGTCTTTGAAGACAGTCAAAGGTACAAAAATGCAAATGGACAGTCCTTGTTTTGGACAAATAAAAACACTGGCCACAGCTACACTTTGCTGGAAAAAGCCACCACTCTCCAGCTTAGGGAAAATGGGTTTTTCTAAATCCTTTTTGCAGGATACTCATGCACTGGCAGACCCCATCCACAGCCACCCCTTGAAAGGCTTGGCCCAGGTTACATGGAGAAAAGTTCTCTCCTGCAGTGCCCTTTGCAAGGCCCACCCCCACCATCCAGGATCACAAGCCCTGACAGGATGGGTGCAGTCAGACCACCCAGAAGGGTTGTCCCTGTCACCTTCTCTTTCTCCAGCTGTGCCCAGGGGTGCCCAAGAGCTCACCCAGGACCCTTCACCAGTGCAGAGCACTCACCTGCCCAGGCTGTGGTTCTGTTACCAGCAGAGGCAGACACAGCTCCTGCTCCTCCTGGGAAGAGGTGCTCACCTGGAGCAGGGACAGCAGCAGTTGGCAGGGAAACCCTCACAGCTTCGCTACAAAAGAGAGAGGCTGTTTCAATGATGGCAACCTTAACCAGCAGCACATGGACAGGGGCAACTTATTTAAGTCAGTGACAAGTGCCACACTTTCAGGCAGGACCAACCAAAGGAGACCAGGTTTTTGGCTCTGTGACACACCACACTGTGCTGTCAGGTGCCATCCCCACGACAGTTTTTTATACAGCTCTTTGGGAGCGCTCTTCTCACCACAAACCTCTCCTTCTGCAGGTTTGCAGAACCTCGTGCTCACCCAGGCCAAGCACCGTTTGTACAACTGCCCAGTTAGTGACCCAAAGGAAAGTCTGCAGCTTGGATGCTGCTGGAAAGGATAAAGATATGGTGGGAAGAGGGAAAACATGAATATCTCCTCTACTCAACAACTTGCTCTCTATGACAGCCAGTGGAAAGAAGAGCCACTTAGCACATTGTCTTTGCTTCATATAGATAACATATTTATTGAAAATCTGCTTCACCAACAACGGTGAAATCATGACCAAAAATTACAAAACATCATGGTAGTTGGCTTTATAAAAATAAACTGCAGGAGTATGCCTCACTGATTTATACTGGTCTCTCGGCCCCTCCCTCCTTTAATGGTGCACGTTGTACTCTCCAGCGTAAATGCCGTTCTAGAAAATTGCATTCCATCCAAAAAAATGCACTTGTTTTCCTTAGTAGAGGTCCTTAAAGTGACTTTTCCCCCGCCCTCCCCAACAATAAATATAGAAAATAGCCTCTAAACAAATAAACTTTAGTTTGGTCAGCTTAAAAAAAGGTCCAATTTCTCCCTCTTGGGATATGTAGTGACTAAGCAGCCATTTAAACAGTATTCAAGTCTTTGGTGGCTTCAGCTGCTTAAAGCTGCAGTTTTATATACAGATGATCAGATGAGGTCCTTTTTTTTTTTCTCTCCAGAAGCCAAAGACTATGAGATGATGTCAGGTGCACGTTACTATCAGTGCTGCATTTGCTGCACCCTCACTGGGAGCGATCAGCTGCCCAGGAAAGCACGTGGTGACAGGAGGTGATCTTTGGCACGGCAGAGCTTTCACACCGAGGGTGTCTTTGGTGGATGAACCTGCTGCATGAGCTGCGGTCGCTTCACTCGTGGTTTCCGTCTCTTTGGCCTGCTCTTGGCTTTGTTGATCTGCACCACAAAGAAGGCCAGAACCACCATGGCCCCGAGGAAGGCAAAGACCGGGATGGTCTGTCCCACGTCCTGGTTGTACCGGCCGGGCATTATACCTGGAAAGGCAAAGAGGTTTGGCAGCAGGTCCTGACCACGTGAGCTGCGATGTCTCTGTGGTGTTAATGCCACCTACCAGAACGGCCCGACGGTAACTCTTGTTCAAAGACCAAGCAGCCATTAATCAGATTACACTTCAGACAGGAAGATTAACAGCTGCAGACCGATTAGCGAAAACAAGACAGGATGCTAACGCTACAGAAAAGCACCAGCACTTCCACCCTGATCGATGTGGGCACATCAAAGTATAACCCAGATTTCCCCTGTAACAACAATCTTCTGTTCTGCACTAGGAGAGAGATGCAGATCCTCGGCCATAATCTTATTAGTAAGTAATTGCTGTAACTCTAACCCTGATGGAACAAGGAAAGTGGTTTCAGGCTTGCTCCAGACACCGTGGGTGGATACGGTGAGAATGAGCTGTAGAAACAAACCTTCATTTTTACAGGTGTCTTCTGGTCTAGCAGCTCAGACTGGGAAAAGAGTCCGTATGAGGCTTTCAAACTGCTTCCAGCTGGGTCTTCAGGGCCAAGCTTGTGTAGGAGAGCAGCCCACCACTGGACAAAGCTGGTTGGAGTCCTCGGCATCGTGTGCTGGTGTAATAACCTGCCCAAGGCACCATTCCAACACACGCTTCTGGACTCTGCTTTTGGGCACTCACAGAAGGAACTTTATCAGCAGTGGGTACATGGCCACAGCTCCCAAGGACAGGGGCTGCTGCTGACACCTGTCCGTCTGAACTGTGCCAAAACAAATCTCAACTACACAAAATGCACCCACCACGATCTTCTTCCCAGTGTGTCATGATGCCTTCTATCAAATAAACTCTTCATGTGGAAAAAAAATTCACACCTGTCTTTTCTAACAGCCTTTTCTGACACAGCCATACTATTATTTGTATGTTTTTTGCAACTGAAAATAAACAGTGGCCTATCATATGGCTGTGTTGGGTTTTGGGGTTTTTTTTTCAAAACTTATACAAAAAGCACAACCACGAACATCAATTTTCAAAGTTTTCAGTATTTACCTCCAGGAATGTCCCATGCTCCACTTTCTCCAGGGGACAATGGTCTCACTTGGGGTCGGTTCTGTCGAAAACTGGGCAGTGCCACTTTATCCAGGTCAATTGACAATAATTTCTGATGTTTCCAAAGGTTGCTAGAAAAAATTGAAAGACAGAGGTGTCTGCCCACCTGCAGGTAATGCAAGGAATTTTCTAGCAACATATACAGAGAGTGACCAGTTGAAAGCTCCGTCTCATTCACAGTCTGGACCCAGATGACAATCTGATCCATTCTTTAGGTTCTGCAGTTGGCAGGCCTCCAAACTTAAATTCAGACACCACAGGCACACAACTATTTACTAACAACCACACTCTCTCCTGCACACAGACTACCAAAAGGACCCATCACCAGCTCAGCAGACAAGTCAGGGCTGGGTGCTAACACACATTCCTTTGAGTGCCTGACAAATGACATGACAGAAGCAGCACTGGGAGAGCTGTCCAAGAAGCTACGTCAGGAATTTCAAAGCCACACATTGATGATGGGTTTGTGCAACACTGTTCACTCAGAGCTGGGATCATTCAATCACAACAGTGACTGGTGAAGCTATTTTTAAAATCCCACAGTTTCACAGTGTAGCTATTAGGTGAGTCAGAATTATTCACTGAAGAGACATTTATGATTATTTCCTCTTTGCAATCTGGTAGTTCTCTAGGAAAGGCA